AATCCTGAGAGCCTAGATGCAATATAAGAGACAAAAAGAGGCTTGTTTGGGCCAGCAAGATAGCTCGACAGATTAAGCGCCCACTTAGGCAAGTGCAGGGACCACTCCAGGGTGCAATGAGCCAGTGACTGAGACTGGGCATGGTGGCGCTTGCCTGTAATCCCAGCACTGGGGAGACTGAAAACAGGAGGATCACTATGAGTCTGAGCTGCGCAGTGAGAACCTATACCAAATATATTAAAAATTTTTTTTCTTAAATGAGGCTTGTTTTAGCCCTTGTTGCTTGCTTTTGCTGTCATCTGCTTGCCATGAACTGGTTCTACCTTGTGATGCCCCCCTACCAAGCCACCCTGCCTTGGAGCCAGCAGATTATAGAAACCTCCACAAACTGTGAGCTAAATAAATCTTTCCCCTTTTACTTTGGGTGTCAGGGATTTTGGCTCAGCAATGAGGACAGTAAATGAGCAAAAGGTATGAACAGACATTTCAGCAAAGAGGCTATGTGGCCTCTCTGTCCCTGGATTTGGCCGGCTCTGCATCCTGCCCCACCGTCCCTGCGTCCTGCCCCGCTGTCCCTGTATCCCGCCCTGCTGTCCCTGCATCCCACCCAGCTGCCCTCTGCAGGCCACACTCTGAATCTGGCTCAGGGCTGAGTTCCACACAAGGCAGGGGACAGTGAGAGCCACGCCATCGGGTCCCTGCCTTCCCAGCATGGTGATCAGCAGACTGCTTCTCCCTCACCTGGGGACACACAGGCGCAGGAATCTGTGCTTTCCACAGGATGCCAGGAAGGCGGCAAGATCAGAAAATGGGGGACAAAGAAGCTGGGGTGAGAGCTGAGCCCTGAGGGCAGAGAAGGGCTGAGAGGGATTCCTGGGGAGAAGCAGCAGGAGCCACAGCGAGAGGGCAGCAGGGGCCGCAGGACAGGTGCCAGGAGCCAGCGGAGGGAGGAGATTTCCCGGCCTGCACCTTAGGGGTCCTGATGCCTGTCACCCCTCTACTGCACCTTGGTGTGATCTCACTTAAGGGCTCAATCTGTTAATTCCTCCCCTGAATGGGAGGCCCACAAAGGAACACAAACTGGGCACATTAAAACTGCACATTTCTTCCCTCACAGGCCTGGGGCCCAGAAATCTGAGATCAAGCGTACCGGGCTGGCTCCTCTGGAGATCCGGGCAGATGCATCCCAGGACTCTTGGGCTCTCACAGCCACTGTGCGTCGTTGGCGCTCTGGGGCTAAAGCAGCATCACTACCCCTCTCCGTGCTTCTCTGTCCCCTACCCTCACACAGCCTGTTTGTAGAAAGGTCCCCAGTTATTGACCTTAGGGCCACCCTAGGCCAGCACGACCTAATGCCAACCTGGCCACATAGGCAAAGATGCTGTCTCGAGATAAGGTCACCCTCACAAGCACTAGGGGCAGCAGGCAGGCATGTGCTAACACGTTCAGCGCTATATAAAGAGACACAGAGGAGAAGTGGCAGCCCTTAGGAGAGAGACATGCACACACTCGGGTGGATTGGCCCGGGAGCTCGCATGCAAGCCGCAGGCCAGCACAGCACAGCCCACAGGCGGTCACCGCAGGGCGAGCCGTCTGTCTGGACTCCAGCGTAAGTCTAAGGTGTCCCTTTCAATCCCTACAGGGAATGCCCATAGGCCACATGTTGGAGGCCTAAGAGCCAGGCCAGGTACCCTCAAGGCCTTCACTCATCCGGGTGGCCCTCCACCCCCAGGAGACTTCTGTCAACACCGATGGATTTCTCAGACTGTCCACTGTGCCAGGTGTTGAGGGAGCCCCAAAGATGGACAGCGCCCCACAAGCAGCTGTTCTCTCAGGTGTGGCCTTAATGTAGAGGGTGCATTCGTATGGTCAGGGTACGAGGGCTGAGTGGGGGAGTCGGGGCTGGAGAGAAGAGATCTGATTGACAAGAAACAAGCGCGAGCCTTGCTTCGCTTGTGATCTGGAAAAGCCAGTGTATAGTAAAATGGTGATTGGCCGTTATACAGATTGAGCACAGTTCCTATCAAAATGCCAACCGCATACTCGACAGAACTAGAGAAAACCATCCTAAAATTCATACGGAGCCAAAGAGACCCAAAGTAACAAGAGCAATTTGGGGCAACAAGAGCAAAGCAGGAGACATAGCAATACCCGACTTCAAACTACACTGCAAAGCAGTAGTGATGAAAACTGCATGGTACTAGAACAAAAACAGGTATGTGCCTCAAAGGAAGAGAATCAGGAAAGTGGAAGCTTTCCTGGACACATTCAGCTATTAGAGCTTTGACAAAGAAGCCAATGTGTATACAGGAGGAAAGCCAGACTCTTCAGAAGTGGAGCTGGGAAGGATAAGCCGGTTATCCTTGTGTGGAAGGCTGAAAAAGGGCCCTTGCCTTGCACAGTGTACTATATTAAATGGATCAAAGATCTAAATATTCAAACAGAAACATTAAACCTACTAGAAGATAAAATAGGTGAAACACTCCAAGACATAGGTGTAGGAAAGGATTTTCTAAATAGAACCTCAAAGGTAAGAATCAACAAATGGGATTGAATCAAACCAAACAGCTTCTGTACCACAAAGAACCAATCAACAGAGTGAAGAGACAACCTACAGAATGGGGGAAAGAGTTTTCCAAGCCAGGCATGGTGGTGCACGCCTGTAAGCCCAGCACTCCAGAGGCTGAGGCAGAAAGATTGCTTTGCCAGCCTGGGCTACCAAGTGAGTTCAAGGCCAGCCTGAGCTTCACAGTAAAGCCCTGCCTCAAAAAAAGCACCAACTACTCATCTAATAGAAGACTAGTATAAAGAATATTACAATGAACTCAAAGAAAAAAAAAATAAACTGCCTAAAATTAAAGATACAGTCAAGAAATGGGCTAGAGAAATGCACAGACACTTCAAAGAAGAAGAAATAAAAATGGTCCACATATATATGAAAAAAATGCTCAACATCTCAGCCATTAGAGAAATGCAAGTTAAAGCAATGCGAGGACTCCATCTTCCTCCAGAAAGAATGGCAATCGCTAAGAAGTCAGTAGTAAATGCTGGGGTGGCTGTGGTGAGAAGGGAGCCCTGCTTTATCATTGGTGGGAACGCAAACTAGCACAGCTGTGATGGAAATCGGTACGGAGATTTCTCAAAGAACTGAAATCAGAAATTCCATACGACCCAGAGATGGCCCTGCTAGGTGTCTTCAGAGAGCCTGAGCCATCACACTGTGGGGATCCATACAGAGCGATGTTTACAGAAACACAACTCATAATAGGGGAATTCTGGAAGCAGCCTGTATACCCATCAGCAGATGCTTGGCTAAAATATATATATATATGTATATATATATATATATATATATATGATATCTATATATGACAGAATACTACTGTGCTATAAAGAATGACGGGTTTGAGACATTTGTAGAAAAGAGATACACCTAGAAAATACAATGTTGAGTAAAATAAACCAGACAAGCTTAAATCCCCTACAGTATCTCTCACTTGAGTGAGGCAAAGCACAGACAAAGGCAGTAATAAAGGATGGACAGAAGGGGACTAGGGGATGGATCTTACTCAGTACGGAAGTGGGCCAAAGCAGCAAGCACAAGGGCCAGGGAGAGGGGAAGGGGAAACAGGCAAAGACTCACCTTGTGAGGGAACCTAAGAACCTCAATAGATGTAAACATTATATACCACTGCACGAGCTAAGATTAACAATAGCAACAAGCATAAAAATGGGATCAGGGAATTGGAAGGGGATTAAGAAGAAAGAAACAAGCTGTATTGTGTACATGTACCCATCCAGAAAATGGGTATGAACTGCATGAACTGCAAACATGTACTACTATACCAAAAATTTAAAAAATATTTTTTTAAAAAATGGTGACTGGGACTTTCTGTATAAAACTGTGTGATACCTTATGACGTAAGACCTGGGGTTGTTCGTTTGTTTATGTGAGATCTGATACAGCGTGCAGAGAGGCAGGGACACTAAGTCTAACTAGGTGACACTGCTAGTTTAGAAAGGGACAGCAGGAGGCGCAGGGATGGGGGCGAATAGTTGACTTTACTTTCAAGGTTCAGCGTGCTCTCTGGGCAGGACAGCCCATGCCTTGCTGGCCAGGGGAGCTGCTGAGTGTGGGACAGGCCCAGCAAGCTGCTCTGGGCTTCTTAAAATGTGTGTTACTCTTACTCCCTCTAGAGAGATCCCTGAGGATGGGCTTTCTCATTTTGAAAAGAATCCTTTCTACCCCTCACTGCTATGGGGGTCTTTTGGCCCCTGCTTTCCTCAGCCCATGTCTGTGCTGCCCCTTTATGCAGAAGGCTGGTGACACACAAATGCAGACACAAGGTCGTGCCAGGCTATTCCTGGCTACCTCTACCTGTCCCCACCACACACCATGGGCTGAGTGTCTCAGACTTAGGTCATTTATGGATACTCTGCAAATACTTCTTGCATTATGCTCTAGTTAATATTTTTCTTGAAATTCTGCTTAAAGATTTTATATCTGATCTAATGGGAAACTAGGACCTCTTTGCTGGGGAAGCACTTATTCCACTGAGCCATCTCCCAGGCCCTTAGGACCTCTTTGCTATACAGAGGTGAATGTAAATTTTTCAAAACATCATGTGAGTTTTTGAAACCAATGCCTAATACATATGAGTAACACCCTTGAGTTCCCCACAGCTGCTTAAGTGCATGCTTGGTTCTGCTCTTAGGACCTAAACTCTTCTGCTCCATCTTGCCAAAAGTGATGAGGATGTGTGAATTAACACCAGCTCTGCCAGGTAATCCCCTGGATGCCCACAAAGTCCACTTCCCACTACCCAAAGCCCAGGTGGTGGCTGGCATTTATGGGGCCCGTGGGTGAACACTGCCCACAAGGCCAGGACCCACACTGAGCATGGAAGCTGCACACTACCCCTTCAGCCCTCGGCAAGAACCATGTTCCCCATCCCTGTCTTTGAGAATACTCATCCAGGGCCTTTCTCGTCTCTCCCCAGTATTGTACCTGGAAGGCTCAGTTCTTGTGTTTGAGGACATCTTCAAACTGATCGCATTCTACTGTGTCAGTAGGTGAGTAGATCGGCCCTCCAGCAGTCCTGAGGAAGGTCTTCCTATTCCTCTGTGCTAGAGTAAGCAGAACAATGCCCACCTGCTGCCACAGATGTCCCGGGCAAGCTTGGGAGCCTATGTGAGCAGAGGAGGCCAAAAAGGAGCCCTGGAGGAAAGGAAACAGCCCACGTAGAGGCTCCCTACATGCTTGGTAGTCTCGATGAGAGCTGTGCATTCTGATGCTGGCATGGACTAGCTCGTAAGAGCCCTGCCCTCGATTCCCAGCTCTCTATGTCACCACATCAAGGACAGCTTGGCATCCTAGGTGGACCTGACCCAGCCACATGGCAGGGGTTATAGAAGGAACTTCCTACAGAGGCAGCAAGAAAGGTGAGTGCCCCTTCTTAGGGGGAAACTTGTGATTATTAAGCATCTGCTGGGTGGAGCAGGCATCTGGTAACCACACCAGACTGTTCCGTTCATTCAAACTGGTTTCAGGTCAGTGAGAATTTAAAAATACCTTTTGGCGCCATAAGCCAAGAGCCCTTGTGCAGATCGGAGGTTGAGCAGGATGCACTGGGGTCCGTGATTCCAGACTGCTTCTGCTGCAGCCAAGTTCAGCCTGCAGCCTGCACTCCCACCCCTGGGCCCCCGGGCCCGATAGTTGGTGATGGCATGCTGAGCATTAGAATTGATGCCAAGAGCTGCCGCCCCGGAGGGCTCAGGAGTTGTGTGGCTTCTGTGCCAAGAGGCGCCTGGTGCCAACCTTCAGGAGCAGACCCTGCAGAAGAGGCTGGGCAGTAGGATGCTGAGGGAGGGATGTGCGCCTGGCGGGTTGCTGGCAGGGGTTCCCATAATGAGCCCCCCAACCTGGCACTAGGCTGTGTTCTGGGTGCTGCCTACACTGTTCTTGCCCCCCTCCAGCCCCCACATTGGGCTGAAGATCTCTGTAAGGGGCTCAGCAGCACAGCTGGCACCAAGCAGGCACCCCAGAAATAACCAGGCTGAGCTGCATATGATCCAGGTTCTGATGCCCGACCTCCAGCTTCTTCGGCACCCGCACACAGTACTCAGAGTGTGGCCAGTAGGGTTCAGGGTGCTCCCTGAAAGCCTGTGTCTTGTATATGGAATTCTAGCCAAAGAAGATGTTTGGGGCAGAGACCTGGCATGGGAACGGCTGCAGCAGCCTCAGGATATGAGCAAGGCAGGGAGGCTGCAAGGCCTCAAGCTCTGCGCCTGGAGCTACAGAGGCTTTGTGTTGCAGGCGCCTGGAGCCATGGTCAGATGGCCCGTAGCACAGCAATGTGGTCACAGCAGCAGTGGAATTGAAGGAAAGGAGAGCAGGGACCCCTTAGGGCCACTGCAGCCATCCAGGCCCTAGCTGCCAGACTAGAAGGGTTTGGGCAGTCACCGCAGACAGGAGAATGGGGTTGGGGGAGGCTGGGAGGTGCTGGGGCTTTTAACCTGGGCAACAGCAGGGTGACTTCACCTGATTGTTTCTCGAGCGCATCCCTGGGGCCAGCCACTCTGCCAAGCCCCTTGCCAGCACTCAGTACAGGTCTGGACAAAGGGATCTGTAGCCTCCAAGTGAGTGTCACTCAGTGCCCAAAATGAGGAAGGAAGGGAGGTGCCCGGGGCCTGCACTCCCTGGAAACGCCCAGCCTAGGGCTATGACTCAGCCACCCCGCTCTCAGCCTGGAGGAAAGGCTGCTGACTGACAGTCTGACAGTCCGCACCTTGGAAGAAAGCTCTGATCACTGTGCCTGGGAGTGGCTGCTTCTGGTGGGCTGCTTAGAAGAGCTGGTGGGCGACACTCGCAACTGGCATAGTGGCGTGCTTCCGTGGGACTGAGCTCCAAAGTGTGCTGAGCCTGGCTCCAGCCCCAGGTAATGAGCATCAGAGGTGAATCGAGTTGGCGGATGGCCAGGTGGTATCTGCAGAATTAGAGAAATGGTTCATGATATTGGAAACACCCTCCCCCGCGGGCTTCTAAAATCAGCTTAATGGAGTATGACTGGCTTTTTTTTTTTTTTTTTTTAATGCAAAAGAAAACTGTACTGGATCATAGAGTGTGTATCAGAAAGTTGGAATAAGACTTGTGTTGTTAAACATTTAGGGGTGTGTGTGTGTGTGTGTGTGTGTGTGTGTGTGTGTGTGTGTGTACATGCACTGCTCCATTCCCAGCTCTGACTGACACTGGGCTCAGACATAGGAATCTGCCTTTTAAGCAGCTCCACTAGCGAATTCTGTAGTCCGCACAGTATGGCCAGGTGGTGGAGAAGCGATAGAGTCGCTCCGGGGCCGGTTCCTTTTGGTGTTTGGTTTTCGGTGTGTGTTCCGGTGGCTGCCCACCACCCCAGCGTCCTCTCTAGAAGGCCTGCCCCGCTTTCCCAAGACCCAGAGGCTTATCGCTAGGATCTCAGTAAGCCAGTTCTGTCCTGGCTTCAGGTGCCTGCCTTCCCCGCATTCACACTCTGTTGCTAAGATTCACTTAGGCAGAGCAAGTTAGTCCTGGACCCCGATTGTGTCGATTGTGTCACTGCGCTGAGGGTACAAGTAAGACCCCCGAGGCTGAGGCTGGAGGAGTGGGGTGCTTGCTCATTGTTCTCTTAGAATCAGGAAGAACAAGCAGCTCTGTCAGTCTGGGTGGTTTTTATTGGAGTGTAAGTTGGTGCAAGCTTGGGGAAGAGGGTCAGGTTGGCAAATACTGTCATTTCTTAAAAATATATATTCCTGTAGCTCAACACGCTCCTTGTAGGAAACTACCAACAGAAACACTAACAAGAGTTAGCATGAAAGAAAGGGGGAAAAAAGAAAGGAAGGAAGGAAGGAAGGAAGGAAGGAAGGAAGGAAGGAAGGAAGAAAGAAAGAAAGAAAGAAAGAAAGAAAGAAAGAAAGAAAGAAAGAAAGAAAGAAAGAAAGAAAGAAAGAGAAAGAAAGAAAACGACAGTCACCACCCAAAATCCTTTGCTGCATAGAAAGGGAAGAGGTCAGTAAGCACACAGACTTGCGAGACGCTCTTTGGCCCAGCTGAACCATCACATGAAGAACGCAGGCCGCAGAGCACTGCGTGTTACCAAAGCGCTGTTTTTGCTTTTATAGGTGGCGTGTGTTTGCATGTCCAGCAGTACACAGGAAAGACCTGGGGAGGCCACTTGTCCCCTAGGATATGACAGTGGGGAGATGCTCTGCATGGTTTATTTTAAACATTTCAGTATTAACTCTGTTATGATGAATATGTATTTCTTTTCTAATTTAAAAATTCTAGCCAGTGGCTCAGTGGAATAAGCGCTTGCCAGGCAAGCGCAAGGGTCTGAGTTCAATCCCCGGTTCAAAATAAAAAAAGCCACCAAAAATTCTAGCCAGGTGTAGTAGTACATGTCTGTAATCTCAGCACTCAGGAGGCTGAGGCAGGAGCATGGCCATGAGTTCAAGATCAGCCTGAGCTACACACTGAAACTCTATTTCAAAAGAAAAAAAATTCCAGGGGCTGAGATGTATGCAGGTCAGCAGTAGAGCTATGTACTTGCCTAACTTGTGCGAGGCTCCGGGTACCACCCCTGATACCACACACAAACAAATCTGATGTCTTAAAAAAAAAAAAAAAAAAAACTAACATTTTAAAAAAAGGAGATGATGGTAATGCCAACATCATAGGGTCATTGTACGGATTAGGTGGAGTAGCACAGAGAAAGCTGGTGCTTGATTGATACAACTCAATAGATGGTAGTTCCTTTTCTCTTAAAAAAAAATATAGCATTTTATGTCCCTGGTTTCCTGGTTAAGCTCTTCTCTTGACTAGATGGTCTTGAGCCAGTCTCTTTGTTTCTCTGAGCGTCTGCGTGATCAACTGTGGAGGAAACAGTAATGTCTTCCTGAAGGGCTGCTGTGATAAAATAATACCGTCCCTCGACAGAAGGCCTGTAAAACGCCTACCCTACAGGAGGTGATCAACAGACACTCCCGTCTCGCATGTGCTTTCGCATGTGGCGGCCCCTCGGTGGAGGGCCAAATCAGAGCTGCATGGGGAAGCATAGATGGGTAAAACCACCGAGCGAGCTCAGGTCCTGGGGAAGAGCCCGTGGTGTGGCCCTGAGGGTTGGGGAGAATCTGAGTAGAAGTGGGTGGAGGGGATGAGGTTGCTGCTCTGCTGCCCCGGGCTCAGTGCTGCTGTGGGACAGTGAGTGCCTTGGGGCGGCAGCAGGGAGACCCACTGGGTGGGGGAAGGATCACTGGGAGGCACGCGTGAGGAAGCAAGCTGGAGAGGTGCCACAGGGACTGGGCTGAAGGCCTGGGGTGCTTGGGCTTCAGGCTAGACGTGATCCGCAGCTGCCACCACAGTTCCTCAAGGACTGAAGGACAAGGTGTCCGCTGATTGTGCTGGCCTCTGAGGCCGGGCAGCAGATGAGATAAGCGGCTTCTGCTGGCTATTGTGACAGATACTTTGCTGGTGGCTGGAACCCATAGGATACCCCACCCACAGGCCAGTCAACCATGCAGGTAAACTGAGGCAACTCAGGGATGAATTCTGCCACCCTTTCAAGGAGAGATGGGGTAGTAGTGGAAGAGCTAGGCCTGAGATGGGAATGGAGCACTGAAGGGCTGCCCAGAATGGGGGACCCAGATGGCCTTGTGCCCACAGGAGGACCACACATATGGTAACCCAAAGTTCAGCTGGAAGTCCAACCCATGTGACAGGAGGGGAGCCAAGGCCATACCTAGGTCTTCACAAGAGGGCCCAGAACCTTGTGCTGCCGCTTACCCTCAGCCTGCTCTTCTGCCCTCATCAAAGTGCATCCTTCAGGCAGGTGTCTGGGTGGTTTGGGGACCTCTGGAGTCTATGTTAGTTTTTCAGGTCTCAATGGGTCCATTTAGCAAATACGCTGAGTCTCCATGCTGTGAACTGCACACACGGCTGGTATGGGGGACATGGAATAATGCCCTGCCACTGCCGAGAGTCCCCAGGGTCCCCAGCCTGAGTGACAGGGCGAGGAAGAGCGACAGGGTGCAGGTGGTTGTTCCCAGAATGGATGGGAGTTTGGTGCTTGGAAGCAAGCTGTGGCAAGGCAGATAGGGTGTGAGCCAGGGAGGTGGAACAGGTTGTCACAGCATCTGCCACCTGCCGACTCAGCTGACACAGTCCTCTTTGGTTTTCCCATTGATTCCCATTTCCATGGAGGACAAAAAGAGCTCAGAACAGAGTGGTTGAAAAGAGGCCCAGCAGACTTTGGATGCCCTCAATGCCCAGGCTAGACAGAATTGGGACCACTCGCCCTGGGCGGGGCTGCGCCACCCTCCCCTTGCTGCCCCTGAGAGTCAGGCCTGGGTTGAAAGTTCAGGAGGCCTGGGACAGTCTGCCCCAAACCCAGTGTGTGGCCTGAATGTGTCGTTTTCCTTCTCTGGGCCTCAGTTTCCCCATCTGTCTGGATTATTTCTGAGGATTTCTAGAGGGAGCTCTGGGCAGGTCCCCATTGAGACCCCAGGCATCAGGTGGAGCAAGATGGAGGCTGTGCACTCACCAGGGTCACCTGGGGCGGTGAGGCCAGAGGCCAGTGAGAGTGGGTCACTCGCTTTACCCTAAACAGCGCCTGCAGAAATCTGGGCCTAGTAGGCCAGGAAAAGCAGGGAGAAGTGAGACCCTGCCCTGCTCCTGCAGGTCTCCCACCTCTGTGTCCCTGGACCTGCCTGGAAGCTGCCTCAGCCTCAAACCTGGCCTTGGCTCCAGGGACATTTTCAGGACTTGGGAGACCCGCAAGGTGACAGAACACAAGGCTCCTCCTCACCCTCTGCAGTTTGGATACATGGGGTGGGGCATAGGAAACTCAGACCCTGCCCCAGACCTGACCTGCAGCCCCTCCTGTCTTCACAGAGACTTACTACCCTTCACGCTGCGGCTGCCCCAGGCCATCCTCGAGGCCAACAGCTTCACAGACCTCGAGACTATCTCCAACCTGGGCCTTGGTAAGTCTTCCCATATGGGACCTGAGGGCAGAGGGAGAGCCCTTGGCTGAGGCCAAGCTGGATCCTCAGTCCCCACAGCTGTGGAAGTCTACATTCCTGGCCAGGCTGCTGAGTCCATAACTGCCCGGGAGGCCCTGGCCCATGGCCTCTTTCAACAGGGAGGTGGCTATGACTTTGGGTGAAGCTGGGCCAGCACCAAGGACCTTTCAGTGGTGGCCAGAGTTCTCCCAGCACTCTGCCCCAGCCACAGTCTCCAGCCCTGTCCACCCCAGAAGGAAGAGCAGTGAGTGTGTGACCATGATCTGGAGCGGGCCCTCCACCCCCTTGGCCTGCCCTCTGCCCACCAACTGACCCAAGATCACCCACTCCTATGCCTCAAGCTTTTGAGGGTCTTGGGAGGGAAAGAAAGATGAGCAAGATGGGGGACCAGCCCCTTCTAATCCAGAGGCTTCCGAAGAATCATAAGCAGAGCTCAGATGTATTGGGCTCCTCCCACACTTGGGCCACGGTGTACCCTGTATAGGGATGGAAGTGGCCGGTGCCAAAGTAGGGTTAGGACCTTACTGTGCTGGCCCCAGGGAAACTCCAAGCCCATAGATGCTGAAGAGCTGGTTAGTTGGCTCTGTCAGTATGTTACAGGCAGAGAATTTACTACTGTCAGGTGGTGGTGGGCAACTGCTTCGGCAGCCTCTACAGGCTTCAGGGTCTGGGCACAGGCCCAGAACCTCATTCTCCAGGCCAGATCACATTTATGAACAAAACAGCTCATCCCTAAATCTTTAAGGCGTTCCAACGCCTGTAGCTGAGCACACTCTTGCAGCCCTGTGGTGAGTAGAAGAGGTGATGAGAGAGGGTAGAGCCTGGATATGGGGGAAGGCAGGAGCAGTGCTAGGGCCAGGGATGACCTCCTAGCTCCCAGGCCAGGCTGCTATCCCTAACTCAGAGTCAGAGGACAGTGATGCAAGAGACGCTGAAGACCGCTGGTGGTCAGGCCAGGAAGTAGCAGGGTTCAGGCCCTTGGAGTTGACGTTCAAGCAACATCAACTGTGTCCTAACCTCTTTAGCTATGTTGGCTCATCCCAGCCTTAACCCTGTAGCGCATGGGCTATCATGATAATCCATATCATACGGCAGAGGAAGCAATGGCTACATGTCCAGTGGCAGAGCTGGGATTTGAACCCTGGCTCACACTGAAGTCTCTATCCAAATTCTCCTAGGCTAAGGTACTAAGTTGATAAACCTTATTTGATACTGAGAATAAGCCCTGACGTATAAACACTTCTTCCTCCCCCTAAACCTTATTCGGTCCTGAGGAGTTCAGAAATTGTATCTCAGAGATAGTTATTGAAATTCTCACGAGTAAATTACAATCTACCACTTCCAATGCAATCCATGGTGAGAATAGAAAGAAACATATCTGCAGTTTGGGGAGCCAAGAGGGTCCAAAGTCCAGGCAGAATGAAGGCCATGACCCACAGCGATACCTGGTTTTAATAGTTCATGAAGAGGGGAGTGGCTCAGGGGTGAGTGACTGTGAGAACGGTGGGAACAGTGAATTCTGCGAGCTGGGTAGGCAGGAGCACAGCAGCCCCTCTGCGATGTGCAGACAGAGCTGTGTAGAAAGAGTACTGGATCCCAGCAGCAGGAGCTCTAGCTTTGGAGGAATCTGCATGACACAGTTGGAGGAAGTGTCTTGTGTTTTGGGTTGGCTGCCCCAGCTCGGGGGTTGGGCTCATCTGCCTGGAACTTCACTGCTTCTTTCTCAAGACTGTCCCCGCCAGCGTGGCTCTCTTGGCCTGGCTCTCTGGGAAGGAGCCATAGGCGGGTGTCCCAGACCTGCTGCATTGCCTCAAAGGCTACGCATCAGCCTCAGCTGGACCCACTCGCATTGCTCAAACCCAACGAGGGCGTAGAGCACTTCCCTAGCCGGCTCTGTGCATTTCAGTGCGTAGGAGAAGGGCAAAGGTGAACCACCATTGAGGCACACTGTCTTCCTCCAGGGTCTCGGTTTTCCTCCACACTGAGGTTCATGCACCAGCCTTCCCACACCAATATTTTAATTGTTGGCCTTTTACCCTCCCAGAGCTTAGATGTGGCCCAGGTGGAAGTTTTATAATTTGCACAGTCTACACGACTTCCTGAGGTCTCAGATGACATGGTCTATGGTTTTGGACCACTGCAGAGCACTGATTTGTATAATCCTTGCATACTCTTTTCCCAGGCATTGAACTCGGGACCATGTGCTTGCCAGGCAGGTACCTATGCCACTGAGCTATCTCCCCAGGCCCAATCCTTGCCATATTCTAAAGATAAAATATATATTTTTAAGATAGCAAAGCAAGTTTAATCAAGCTAATAACCTTGTCCCAAGTGCCCCAGACAGGAAGGAACAAAGCTAGGATTTACCCTGAGAGCACTTGCCTCTCCTCGCTGCCTCTCCATTGCCCTTTGGTGGAGCTAACATTCACCTCACGACCGTCTCTGCTGTTTCTTTAGTGACTACTTTAGAGGCCCAGTGGGTAGGACAGCAGAGACGCAAGGTCCCCATCAGGGTTGGTTGCTGCTGTCCTTTTGCTGCACAAGGTCAGGCAGGTGTCCCTGGCAATCCCTGCCCAGGGCTCCCTGCAGCTTCCTCTCACCGGTGGAGCCTGACTGCCCCCCAACCTAGGAGCACGTGGGGTCTGAAACAAGCTGCCCCTCTTGGGGGACCCTCTTTCCTGTCTGGAATGGCAGTACTAAACCCTGGAGGGACTCGGCCTCAGGGGCAGAGTGGCTGTGGAGAAGGATCAGGCCACATGGGAAGCCACGGGCAGTTCAGATTCACCTGTCTGGCACTCACTCCCTTGAGAGAGGAACTTCTGTGAAACCTGAGTATGTGGCAGCTTAGGAGCTGGGGGTTCTGTTCAGACCTGGTGTCCTCAAGTGCCAAGGACATAAAGTCAGGGTCACCAGATCCATTTTTCCCTGGACCGCAGGAAAGGTTGATTTTCCAGTCTATCCCTGAATGCTGGAGATTGGGGATGAAGAAGCAATCTTTTCAGAGGCCAGAGGCCTGACCCCCAGCCTGTGCAGGCTTGGGCCTCACTGGTCTTCACCTGCAAGAGTAATGATAAATATGAAAAGTGTGGCATCTGCCGGAGGCTGAGGCACCCCACCATTGTGCCCGGCACATCATGAGTTATTACAGGCAAAGGGCGCTCCTGGCCGGGAACCCAAACCCACTCAACTTGCATGATGAAAAGAAGGACTCTGGGGAATCACTGGGACCCACAAGAGGAAGCACCCCGGGCTGTGGAGCAGCGACAAGCCGCCCTGGGCACATGCCGGCCCCTCACCACTCTCATGCCGCTCCCTGACTCCAGCCCAGCCATGCCTGGTCGCTCACTACTCTCCACACAGGTTCGCTCGGCATCACTGGGATGAGCACTCTCCAGCCTCATGACGAGAAGTGGAGAAGATGAGCACTCTCCACCCTCATGACGGGCCCCCCTCTGGCATTGTCAGCTTTCTAGGAAAGCCAGAAGGACAGTAGGAGGCAAATGCATGGAAACAGAGGCACAGAAACGCTGTTTCATTATCTGCACAAAACCCATTTCCACTGTGAGGCCATGGAAACTCATGGAGTCTGAAGAGCTTACTGGGCTAGGAGCAGAGACGAGGCCCTGGCACCTGTTCGTCATAGATGAACCTGGGAACATGATGCTTAGAGAAGAGGCCAGACCTGAAGCCCATGCCTGGCTCCTCTGTGAAAAGGCTTGGAGTAGGCAAATCCCGAGACAGAGGCACGATGATTGCCAAGGGGTGGGCACGGGTTCTTTGCTGATGAACGTGGTTCCTTGGAGGTGATTCTAATACTCTAAAGTTGATTGTCACGACAGTGGCAGAACTCTGTGAAGATGCTAAAAACCAGTGGTGATTTTAATGGGTGAATTCCGTGAAAGATATTTCAGTACAGTTGGTAGAGAAAGAAATCAAGTAAAGGAAGGGCTTTCTGCGCTAGGACATCAAAGAAGTTGTGCTCACACTTGGAGCTTGCTGAGGTTGACTCAGCACCCTCTGTCTGTGTGCACCGCCACCTTTGCTCTCTCCTCTTCCTGGGGCTCTTTCCTATACCATCCTTGCGTCCAGTGGAAAACAGCGTGGTGCCTACATCCTGCAGGGGCCAGGGCTTGGAGCTGGGCCAGGGAGGGCAGGAATCTTGGCCCTCTGCATCTTTCCCTTGCACTTGCTTCTGTATTTTATTATTTACTTTCTTTTACAAAAGCCCAGTGGCTTTGGTATGTTTACTTGTTTTTAACTGACAAGATCAGTAAAGGAGGAGGGTGAACCGTGCAGGTCCCCTCCACTGCTGCAGAAGCACAGTTGGTCTCAGCTTTTGGTTTTGTTTTAGTGGAACATGCGGTGGCTTTCTATTTTCCCCCGACACTCAGAGGCAAAGTGTGTGTAGTGAAGGGTAAAGATTCTCCCTTTTTTTTGTCCCCCTGAAAATCTTGCAGTTATAATACGTTCTTGAGGCATATGTGTTTCTTATCTCTCTTGCCAGCAACTGTATTTCTCTGGCATCCTAATCATAATTTTTTTTATGAGTGGAATGAGCTCTGCTGTTTAGACAGGCATGATAGGGCTGAAGCAGAGCTGTTCGCTGGCACCTCAACACCATGCGATGTCTCAGGGCCGTTCCTGAGCCAGAGGAAACAAGGCCAAATCTGGACTTGGATAAGCCGGCGTCCCATGCTGCGGGCTATATAAGGTGCCGTCTCAGACTTCAAGAATTCCACGTTATTTGGGGCCACCAAGCTAACATGGGGCATAATCAGCGCTGATCTTTCGAGTGGTTGATTCTAAGTGCAACAGGAACTCAGAGAATGGGGATTATTGGCAGTGGTCCCCAAGCCTGTCTGCAGTACATATACGTGTAATATTTTAAAAACATGCTGAAGAAAGGCATATGTTCTCTAGCTGTTCCAAGTCTGCACGTGGCCTGCTTTGCCTTTATGTCATACAAAGAGAATTTTTCTACTTATTGAAGATTCATTGACATGTCAGTTTGGGTGACTGTCCAGCAGCCTATCCTTGGGGTACCCCAGAAGCACTCACTCCGGAAGTGCCTCAGCTCTGGAGCTGCTGCTGTGACATCTGAGTGCTTTGCTGTATCTGTCGGTCCCCTTTCTGCACTGCTGCTTGCCCAGGGATGCTAAGGGCATAGCCCAGGCCTTCCAAGTGTCATCAGAGTGGACACCTGGCAAGAGGTCAGACAGGGCCAGAACAGCATCTGCTGAAGTGAGAGGGCAGCACCGAGGCAGCAAGGGAACAGGCCGCCTCTTCCTCCTCTCCCTCCTCTTCCCCCTTCCTCCTCCTCACCCTCCTCCTCCTCCTGCTTCTTTTGTGTGTGTGGTCCTAAGGGACTGAGAATTAAACCCAGAGTCTTCACACTGAGCTGTATCCCCTGCCCATTTTTTATTTCAACATAGGATTTCTCACTAAGTTGCTCAAACTGGGGTCAAACTTCCTGCCACAGCCTCCAGCCACCACACCCAGCTAGGACAGGTCCTTCTTGACAGGAACCTTAGCAGCTGAGACAAGTCTTGGCCTGCTGCAGCGGGGCACTGGCACCCACAGCTTAGCCAACCACTAGGATTGCATGGCACAATGTTCCGCTTCTCTGGCCGTGGTCCTCTGCCAACTGCAGAGAAAGTTACCCACTTCCTTTTTTTTTTTTCTTTCTAAATTTTAGCCTACTGCTACTGCAGTTCCCCAGCAGGGCCCCAGACCCCATGATGCAGCAGCGCAGCTCCCAGCTTGCCCTCCCCTCAGAGCAGCTCTGGCCTAGAGGCCTGTGTCCTACCACCCAGACCGCCTTGAGCAGGGGCGCAGTGTCCTGGGCCCTGGGCACATTTCCCTGAAGCCCAGTGTCTTCTCTGCTCCTGCTGACATCCAAGTGAGTGGTAGAAAATGTGCTGTTTGAACAACCGTGCTGTCCTGGAGCAGATGTCCAGACGTAGGACATTCACTTATGGGGCTCCCCAGTCCGCCTTTTGCTTCCTCCTACTGCCCAGGCTCCTCACCTCCCCATGTCTCAGGCCATGCCCAGCTCCAAGGAAGAGCTGGCCTTACCTGTGTCCCCTCCCCCAGAGCCCTTCCTCTGCTCTGGCCGAGCTAATCCCCTCAGGGCTGATGGTGGGCTCATCTGTGCGGAGCACTGTCTTAGGACCTAGAGATCCGCAGAGGGAGGAGGCATTGGTGCTGCCTTCTGGAAGGGCAGAGCCTGGGGGGGGGGGAGCACCAGACACCGGCAAGTCTTGCTGTCCCAATGCTGGTCACTAGAGTCAGAGTGTCCCCAGAGCTGGGTGGCACGGAAGAGCAAAGGTAAGGCCTGGATGCATCATTAAGCCTGTACTGAACCAGTAACATGCTACCCGATTTGTGAAAGATGAATGGAGAGGGTGGGGAAAAATCCAAGCAGTGGAAACAGAGCTGGGATATGAAGGCAGAACAGTGTGGGAGGAAGAGAGCAACAATGGAGTATGACGGAGGTCAGTAGATGATTCCAGAAAAAGATACTCAGAGGCCGGAGCCACAGGCCTCAGATGATCTAGGCAAGCAATGAGAGGAGTTTCCAGGTTTTGGTAAGCAGTTCTGGGCATCATCTACTGCATGACTTCCACCTTCACACGAAAGAAAAGTCTCATTGGAAGAGACTGGGGCTGACCAGCCCTGCTAGGAAACCTTCCAAGGGACAGCTTCACTGGACTCCTGTAGGTGTGGACACAGCGCTTCCAACACTCACTCCGCAGCCAGAGCCCCCATGTGCTCAGTGCAAGGCCGCTGAGAGAGTGAGTTGTTCACAGCGGGGACAGCAGCTGCCCCAGAAAGCAAAGCCAGGGACCCCGTGTCACAAAGAGCAGCTTGTCCAGGGCATTGGAGAGCTTGCTGTGGTCACACCAAATCCAGTCTCTGTGTTGTGCACAGAACTTTGCGTGTTGGAGAGAGACACAAAAAGCTTGTCATCGTGTTGTGGTGGTCACAGCTGGATCTTCTCAGCAGGTGTCCAGCTGCGCCATCTCTCTGCCCAGGGCTGGGTGAATGGTGAGCGCCGCTCTCCTCCCTGGCCAAGGTCCACACAGCTGGCTGAGTCACAGCTAACCTGTGGTACTAGGATTGTGCCTCCTTACCTCCTTTGTGTTGTGGGCAGCCAGTGCCCACATCCTTGAGAGTGCCCTGTCTTAGAGCGGGCACACAGTCTGCTGCCCTGCACCGGCCTGTGAAGCCTCCCTCGCTTCAACATCAAGAGCCTGATGTGTTCTTACCACACCCCACTCCGAGTCAAGGCATCATCACTCCCTGATGCTGGGAGAGCGCCCCACATGGGAAGTGTCGCAAGTTCCTCCAAAGGAAGGCCACACAACACAGCGGTTGAACACGGGGGCTTTGGGACGTGTGACCCCTTTCAAACCCCAGCTCCCCCACTTGCCAACTCAGTGGCCTCAAGTGAAGGCTTTGATATTTCTGGGTCGCATTTTCATCTGCAAAATGTGGACAAGGTGTAGGATCTGGGAACATAGAGGCAGTCCAGCTAAAGCCAGTTGTCCCTGAGTGGCACCCGGCCAAAACATGGCAGCCATTACTGGCTGAAGACCCTCCCATAAGGGGTGAGCCCTTGTGGAAGGCTGGCCCCACCATTCAGGAAGAACTGTGCTATGCCTGGTTAATTTCCTTTCCAGTCCTAAACTTATCAGGGTGAATAAGACCTCCTCAAATGGGCTGTGAGTCAGCTCAAGTTACCCCAAGATGTCATGTCCATAAGCCCTTTGTAGGAGAGGGCTCCTGATCATTCATGGCTACTTGATGAGATGTGGTACCCACAGATGAAGAATTCCTGAACCAAGCCTGCCGTGGTGGCTGCGGCCACTGACTGGGTCCTGAGAAATGGTCAGGAGCTGTTGATGCTGGACTCAGTTACCCAGACCCACCACAGTCAGGTTGGTTTGCCGTGGACAGACTCTGAGGTGACAGTCAGGTCTGATCCCGCTAGCAACAGCCTATGTTTGTTTTGGTCAAAACCTCTTGCCTGGTACAACTGTGTTCTCTCCTCTGACCCCTCTGATGTGGATACTAGTGAGACCTCAGTTTTGAGATGTCTAGACAGAGGCCTAGAGGAGTCCAGCATCCTGCCCTGTGTACCCTGCTGGGCAGCTACAAGGCCTCTACATTTCCCATCCCCTTTCTCCCATCATGCCCGCCCTACCTCTGCCTCATGCATCTCATTTGACTCAGCGCAGCTGTTGTCACCCCCACCAAGGTCACCAGGCCCTCTGTGGTGGGCTGTCACATCAAGGGACAGAAATGAAGTTGAGCCTGTCACATTCCCCAGCAGCCCCACCTAGCAGCTGGGGAGGAGGGCTTGGGGCTTCCCCTCCGAGGGAGGCAGGAAGTGGTGGGAGAGGCTTAGGAGCCCACGAGGGGAAAACAGCTCTTCACAGAGAAGCAAGTTCTCAGCAGCCTCCCAGGCTGCCCCTGCTGCATATGCCACCTGCCCTGGGGACTGACCACCGCTCCCTCTTTGCTTCCCACAGGCTTCTGGGACTCTTCACTGAACCCCCAACGAGGAGGTGGCCGCCCACCCGAGTGCCGGAAGGACCCGGATCCTGGAGGCCCCGTAGCCTCCAGCCTCAGGTCCACAGCCCATTATGCAAACTGTTCCTGCGAAATCGAGCTGTCCATAGGAAGCGATCGCCTGTGGTTTGTGAATCCTATCTTCATCGAGGATTGTGGCAGCGCCCTGCCTGCCAACCTGTCGCCTCCTGGCTGCTGCAGCTCATGCCCTGAGCCTGCCATCTCGGACACTACTACCTCACCCACCTCCAGGTGGGCCCCCCGCCGCCCCCCGCCTCCACCTCCCGTCCCAGTGCCTTCCCCTGCCCGAGCCCCAGTGCTTCCTCCTCCTGCTTGTCCTCTGCCCAGCACTCCCCCAGCCTCTGTCCCCCACCTCCCGTCCCATGTCCCAGAACCCCCAGACCATCCAAGTCAGCCACCCATGACAGCCTGTGAGAGGCTCCCACACCCTACCACAGGCCTAGGAGCCTTCAGAGAACAAGAGATGAAGCCGGGCATGGCCCCCAGCCCCTCGCACCCAACCCCTGCCCCTCCAGTGACCCCAAAGAAGAGCCTTCCTGCCGTGCCTCCCCGGCGGCGTATCTCTGAGAGGCTGTCCCTGGAAGACCAGAGTGTGGGGAAGGTAGCTGATGAGGACCAGCTGGGCCTTTCTGGGGCAACCCAGCTCACCTTGCCTTTGCAAGGGACCTCGAGCAGCCCTGGAGACAGTCCTCAAAAGATCAGAGAACAAGCCCAGGAAACAGAGGTCAAAGCCAGCGACCCAGGCAGCATGCCAGACCCTCCCAGGAAGACCAGACAACCCCCGGTCCCGCCTCCAAGGAAGAAGCGGATCTCCAGACAGCTGGCCACTGTCCTCTCAAGTCCCCTAGAGAGTGACAAGTCCCCCACAAAGGAGGTGGCCTCTGAGAAGCCCACACCTGGTGTGCCCAGAGAAGGTCAGGGTGCTGCCCCCCAGTCTGGGACTCCACATCTCCATGCCCAGGCCAGCACCTGTGCCCAGAGCTCTTCTGAGTTCAAGGGCTCCCTGGCCTCCCTCCCAGACAGCCTGGGAGTGCCGTCCTCAACGGTCGACCAGGACTCGTACTCAACCAGTAGTGCAGAGGAGGAGCTGGATTTTAGCAGCCCCAGCGTGAAGAAGAAGCCCTCAATGATCTTGGACAAGGCGCGCCACCGGCTGAGCTTTGCCAGCTTCACCAACGTCTTCCATGCCTTCCTCTCCAACAACCGCAAGCTGTACAAGAAGGTGGTAGAGCTGGCACAGGACAAGAGCTCATACTTCGGCAGCCTGGTCCAGGACTATAAAGTGTACAGCCTGGAGATGATGGCACGCCAGACCTCCAGCACGGAAATGCTGCAGGAGATCCGCACCATGATGACCCAGCTCAAGAGCTACTTGCTGCAGAGCACCGAACTCAAGGCCCTAGTGGACCCTGCCCTGCACGCGGAGGAGGAGCTCGGTCAGTACCTGTGGGGGCAGGAGGGTGGGAAGGATGGTGGCATAGACTCAGGAGCCCTGTGCATGACACAGTCGGTGCCCACCCTCACGCCTTGTCAGTGTGTACACCCCTCTCCAGCTGCTGCATGGGCTGGCTACCCCCTTTCCCAGAAATTGAGGATCACAGCTACCCCCTTTCCCAGAAATTGACCTTAGCCATGCAGGAACCATGTTAACCTACACTCGCTGTCCCTCTCTCAGCAGCCCACAGGCATCGCTTCCGATGGGAGTCATAAACGCTCCCTGCTTGCCTCTAGGCGGAACCCCTCTGGTGCAGCTTTATGCTCCAAGGCATACTTTGGAATATGACTGGGTCAAGACTTCAACCCAGCTCTAAGCCATCCTTCCTGCACTCCATTTCTCTGCTTCTTCCTTCTGCTCCCCAATAGACCACATGCACCCAAAACCTCTTCCAGAGAAGCAGCCCAAGCCAGCTCACTGATCTGGCCTCCTCTCAAGCAGCCCCCTGCTTTCCCACCCATGCCAGCCTCTAACTCAGGAACTAACAAATCTTTCTGAGTTTGTGATTTATAGTGAGATCTGTATTATACATTGTGATCAGCTGCACACCTACATAATATGTAAAATAGTCAGCTAGACATGGTGATACATACCTCTAATCCTGGTTACTCAGGAGACTAAGGCAAGAGAACCTCAAGTTCAAGGTCAGCCTAGGCAACTTAGGGAGATGCTGTCTCAAAATAAAAAATAAAATGATATGGTGGTATGTAGATCAGTGGTAGAGCATCCCAAAGTTCAAACTCACTATCACACACACACACACACACACACACACACACACACACACATCACTGCTGTGTGGCTAAAGTACTGAATAAAACATGGAGTTGCTGCTGATGGACTAACTAGTTAGTAGCAGTCCCTTACCCCAAGTACTCCAAGTGGCACCCTCTTGGGGTCTCCTACTTCTCTCCTCCTCTCTCCAGTAATTAAAGTTTAGTGTTGGGGACAAGAAAGGACATTTGGGACTCTGCAACATAGTTGATTCATTGTAAGTGTTTTGTACAGAAAGAGTAGTGAATATTGTCTTCCCAGGGAGACAGGATTTCGCCCACAGGCTCCTGAGAGTATAGACTCTCCAGACCATGGGACTGATGGGCACTGTGGGTATGGGCTGGGTGGTGACACTGAGGTCAGAGGCCAGTGGCTGCCTCCCTGGATGCCACATGTGCATCTGCACAGGGCCTTACAGATGGAGGGTTCTCTAGGAAGGAAGCCCAGGGGCAGCACAGCAAGCATCACCCACCACGGTCCAGGATTTATCTCTAAATTGTGTGCCAAGTCAGAGCAGCACATTCCTTGTTTCCATGGAGCTATCACTGCAGAATTGTAGGTCTCACTGTGAGCAGGCAGTTAACAAAGTCACTGGCCACCCAACACCGTGTCAGACACAATGTCCATGCAGGGAAAAGAGGGGAGCACAACCTGCAAAAGTCCCTCGTGTCCCCCAAGAGCTTACATCTGAGAAGGGCACCAGGCAATCAATCAGCAGGAAACCTGAGCTAAGACATCAATTCAGTGACGCAGTGGGGAACGCAACAGGAAGTGAGGGTGGGAGACACCTGGGGAGGCGGGTCACTGGGTCTGCAGGCCACCCTGGGGACCTAGCTCTCCTGCAAGAGACTTCCCTGCTACTGCAGGGTCAAATCCAAGAGTGAGTTTGCCTCACACATTTGGGAGCTGTCAACACAAAAAGAGCCACAAGACTTGGTGACATCAGCCCTGATCTGAGCATGGAGGCCCTGGCAGCATGCAGATCTGGAGGGCATGAAAGGGTGTGGAGGCTGAAAGAGGCCCAGCGGAAGCTGGAGGGGGTGAGCAGGAGGGAGAATGGGGCTGGCTTTCCTGTGGAGGAGAGACAGCAGTGTGGTGCAGGCAGAGAGGTGAACAACAGAGTGAGGGGATCAAGTGCTGCACTTGAGGCTGCGTGCAGGTCAGGCTAAGGATCTGGCCTGGAGGCAGCGGGCCTGTGGAGGGCACAGAAGAGGGGACAGAGCAGGGAGATGAGTTGGAACTGGTCCATCCCTGAGCAAGACAAAGAAGTTAGTGCCAGCCAGACCATAGCCAAAAAAAGCAGGAGTGACCTGAGACCCGAGGGTGGCTGGCTGGTCGGTCAAGGACTCAGCACAGGGTATCCGCCAAGGGCAACTCTCTCTCAGGTGCCAGGATGTCAATAGATACTAGATGTAGAGTCTGCCAGGCACAACAGGGCATAGTGTCCCCAGAGCTGGCCCTGGGCTATGTGGGGTAGGAAGACTTCCAGGTAGGGCTCAGGGGCCCCCAAAGATGGGCAGGGCCAGAGCTGCAGGCAGCAGAGAGGGAACAAGACTGACCAGCTGAGTTCCGATGCTGCACATCTCAGCCTTATGAGTAGCCGAACTGAGCGGCTGGGCCACTGCGGTCCCCAGGAGGTCATGGCTCAGAGGTTGGTGACCCAGCCAAGAGGACATAGAGCTGGCGGTAGAGCTGGCTTAGAGCCTACAGTGGCCATCTGTGAGCGGCTGCTCTGCTGCTCTGACCCCGCCCAGGCTCTGCCCGTGCCCACTGAGACCAGGGAGCCTAAGCCACATAAGGCACTGATCCTGCCTTTGGTGCCAGGGTAAAAGGCATCGAGAGCCATCGAGACACCATCCTGGCACCTGTCTGTGGCTACAGAGGGCAAAATGTGGAGAGGTGGTGCCCCAGGAGAGCCAGAGCTCTCTGATGCGGGCTCCCAGGACATCTCCTGAGGATGAGCACAGCAGCGTAGGAAACGAGCCCCGCAACGGGAGGAGCACAGTCATGGTCACGCAGGAACCAACCCGCCGGGGTGGTGGGAAGGAAAGTGCCGCCCCAGTCTGTGCTGCCTGTGTTCTCCTGATGGAGGGGATGAAGGAGGTGGCAAGACAGACCCAGGCCAGCCAAGGACGATGCCCACCTATGGGTAAGCGCAACCCCATGCAGGGAAGGCTTGTCCAGGCCTCTTGTGAGGATCAGCCGTCAGACTCAGCAGGCGTCTCCCCAAGGACGGGGCAGCCCTGGCATCTTCCATAGGACAGGATTGGGACTGGCCCTGCTGGAGGAGTACCCAGGACCCTCCTGGAGATGAGCTGAGAATAAAGACACCTTCCTGGGAGTGCTTTCCTGCTGTTGCCAGAAGCAGCCGATTAGCACTGCGGTGTCTAGCGGGTGCGAGTCCAGTCCCTTATTGGGTCTCCAACCCACCCCGTCAGAGCCTAAGTGTTTCCCTTGGCAGGGGAACCACATAGAGTAAAAGACAAATTGCCCTGGGACTCCTCCCACTTGCCTCCAACCCACGTATCCCGTTGTCTTGCCACTTTCCGAAGCCATTCTGGAAGACGTGTTTATTGGTGTCTTTATGAGGTATGGTCAAGAAAGTGGTGAGTGCCGCAGCCAAGCGCCATCCCACAGAAAGGCAGGACCAGAGAAGCGTGAGTGTGTCCTCATCCAGCTACTTCACTGGACCCTGCAACTTCTGGCTCTTCCCAAAGTCAAAATGACCATGAAGGATAAGCATTTTAAGCTGACCCAGGACATTGAGGCAGCTGTGACAGTATAACTAAAGCCACTTGTGAAAGAGGACTTCCAGAACTGCTTCAGAAAGGGGCAAGAATAAGTGCATTGAAATGAGGGGGGAGTACTTTCAGGGAAATTCATGGCGATGAGTCTTTTAAAAAAATTTTTAAACACTTGCTATATTTTCAGTCAGTCACACCTGTAGAGTTATTGTGAGATTAGAGGTCACCGATGCCCACTGCCCAAGTGGAGCAGGACTGCAGCTCAGATCAGATGACGTTTGAAGGGCAGAGGGCAAGCCAGGTGGATAGTGGGGCAGGGCAGGGGCAAAGGCCTCGAGGTAGGAGCAGCCTGGCAGGAGGGACACAGGGAGCAAGCAGAGCTCCAGTGAAAATAGGTTGCAGGCCTCACAGGTCACGGGTGCACTCAGCCTTCGATTTGATTGCACTGTGCATTGGTTAGTTTTCCCAGCGTTGGGTTGAGACACCTGACATCCACAGCTTCATGGAGGAAAGGTTTATTAGGCTCCGGGTGGTAGACGTTCCTGTGGGTGGCTAGCTGGCCCCAAGGCAGCAGCATCAGGGCAGAGGATTGTCACATTCAAACATGTAACCAGAGCAAGGGGCTACTGATGTAACCTGGGCAAGACACAAAGGCGCAGCCTGACCATCCCAGGTCAAGGTGGTGACTGTGGAAGTGACAAAAAACCTAGGTGTGCTCTATTTTTGAGACAAGTCAAGTAGATGTGGATTTCCAAAGAGAAATTCTTGATCGGCAGTCAAAAATAAAACCACTGATCCCTTCTTGGGCATCTGGGCCCTGGGCATACAGCTGGCTGGGTCGTCCACTGCACAGTTCCAGTGGGGTGAGTGTGCACTGCGCTGGTGAGCAGCCCTGTGAGAACTTACCCTGTGCCAGGCCCTGCGCTTGGCACCAGGTACAGCGCCCAGTTACTGAGTTGTCCAGGGCTTCTGTGCCAATTTGTCTGCAGTGTGGTTCTGCTGGATTCCTACCGGGGCCCAGTGGGACCTGCAGGGGGCAAGACAGGGAGGATGCGCTTCCAGGCAACAGGGCCAAGTGGCAGGACTCCTGCCACTGATGCCCTCCCTGTGCTCTGCCCACCCACAGAAGCCATCGTGGAGTCGGCCCTGTACAAGTGCGTCCTCAAGCCCCTGAAGGAAGCCATCGACTCAAGCCTGCATGAGATCCACAGCAAGGACGGCTCCCTGCAGCAGCTCAAAGTGAACCAGCAGGTAGTCCTGGCCACCACCACCACCGACCTGGGTGTGACCACCAGTGTGCCCGAGGTGCCCGTCCTGGAGAAGATCTTGCAGAAGCTGGCTGGCATGCACAAGGCCTACTCGCCCGAGAAAAAGATCTCCATCCTGCTCAAGACCTGCAAGCTCATCTACGATTCCATGGCTCTCGGCAACCCAGGTAGGTGGAGACCCTCCCTGAGGGGCAAGCCAGCTCTCTCTGTTCCAGTCAAAACCTGGTTTGCATAGGGAAGTCTGCATCCAAATTTCCCCTTTATGTGAGGACGCTGGTCATAGCAGGGTTGGGGTTTTCCCTTGTCCTGGATGACCTCATGGCCTGTTACATGTGCTGTGACCCCATTTCCAAATAAGGTCCCATTCTTGGGTGCTGAGAGTTAGTTGTTGGGCACCTGGATTTGGGAAAAGACCTGGCTTGGCCTGCTGTGCTGAGCTCAACTGGACTTTGTGGTCTGCAGCAAGCCGTGGCCAGCTGGAGCTGGCTGGTCAAGGATGGCCACATTGTCTGTCGGGTGGTGACTGGCGCGGGCTTGTGCCAAGGTCCTGCCCCCACAGCTCCTGGTCCTGCATCAGGTTATGCCAGGCCTGTGCCCAAGCTATTGCTGGGGCCAGGAGACCAAGCGCAGGCTAAGCCTGCTGAGTCCTGGCCTGAACTTGTAGGCTGTCACTGATACAAGTCATTTGTTCAGTCACAAGATGAGCCCTGACTCGGGGTGAGGAGCTCTCACTCATGGAAGGTCACACTGCTGCAGATGTAGGCGAAGGAATGCTGCAGACCACTGTAATGAGTTTAGCCCCACGCTCCTCCAGATGAGGTGGGACAGGCATCACTACACCATAATGCACACCTCCGTGACCAGAACAGGGGCCGCATCTCACCACCCCCCCAACTGTCAGCTAGATGCCCATGCGCAGCGAGCCACCCAAGTAGCTGTGTGTGGTCCCCACGGTAATGGAGAATGGGAAGACTGGTCCTGCTGTTATGATCCAGGCCTGGATTCAAATCCCTAGTTTGTATGGACTTGAAAGATTCCCTTAGCCCTTTAGGGCCAATTTCCTTATCTGTGGAAGCTGCTTTACAGAGAAGGGAGGCTAAGACCCCTGTGGCCCAGAAGCTGCATTCAGTCACTGAGAATATGGAAACAACCTGTGTAAGATGCAGTCCACAACACCTCGCCCTGCAGGAGTAACCACGGTGGCCAGAGGAGCAGGGTTCTCTCCTCCCTTGCAGAAGGGCAGGCCCCTTAGACCATAGACCAGCAAAGAGCAGATGTCAGGTGGGGGCTGTGGCCTAGGGCCAGGCCTTCCTTCTAGAAAAGCTTCTCAGCTCCAGGTCAGAGTCACTTTTTGTGCTAAACTGATTTGCATCATCCTCCGGTGAGAACGAACGTTCGTTCCCACAGGCAGACCCCACACTGAGTCTCGACCTGTCGGAAATACAATTAGGAAACAAAGGGCTGTAGCAGAGGCATGGGGTTCATGAAGGTTGGCCTTCACAGGATGGACTTTAGACCTGGACATCAGGTGACTTGTGCAGTCCACAGGCCACTGAGCAGGCCACAGATGTAAGCATAACCAAGGAGCAACCTTAAAAATTCCCCACATAGGGGGCCTGCCCCTTAGCCAGTTCTTTAAGTGGCTGCTTCAACAAAGCAATCAGGCTCAGGTTGCTGTGGTTCAAACCCCACACCTCAAGTCAGCCAAACCTGCCCTGAAGGCATTCGGAGCAAAAAAAAAAAAAAAAATTCCCCCCAGAAATAAGGCAGGGTCAGCAGCCAATGTGCAGAAACCGAGCTCTCAAAGAGATGGGCATGGGCAGCCTAGGGCCAGAGCCCTGGGCAGCCTGGCCTGGCCGAGCAAAGCACTGTGGAACAAGCCAGGAGCCTCCACAGGTGGAGTGAGCAATTCTGGGTCCACAGCAGGGAGGCAGGGTCAAGCTGTCCTCAGGGTGGATAGAGGGAACATCAGGGAAACTGCGTCAAGCCAGAAAGGAGACAGAGTCCTTCCCTGGAGGCAGCCTCCCTGGAGGGACAGGTTCTTGTCCCAGTTCTGCCCCTTAGCAGCTGGGCAGTTCGGGTGACCCAGTGCGCAGCCTGATTCCTCCCAGTTAAAGGGTACAGTGGTCCCCACCTGGGGCCACCTTGAAACCCAGAGGGTCCTTACAGTTTGCAGGTTGCCTGGCAGCTGCACTTTCTAACAACGCATGTCCCCTTCCATGATTGGGATCTTTCAGGGAGTCGTTTCCCCAGGTCCTGCAGGGCTGCAGGAGCTGTGGGTAGTCAAGGCCAAGTGCGCAGGCCACCCCCATTCTCCTGGCTTGGCTGGGAAGTGGCAGTTCCGTTCTTATCGAGCCCCATTTCTCCAGAAGCCTCTGGCTTCCTGGAATTCTTTTAAAACCCCAGTCATGCGGCGGTGATGTTCCAACTGTGTGACCTTTCCTATCCGTGGGTCTGGCTACTGCAAACTTAACCAGAGCAGGGAATGGGGGAGGAAATGGCTAATTTCCATGGGGAGATGAGAGAAAGAAAGGCAGTTGGTGGGGAGCGGATTGGAGTAGGGAGACTGTGAGGCCACCCAGGCCAGAGACTCTGAGCTGTGATGGTCAGGCAGGGCCAGGGCTCTGAGCCAAGATTTCCCACCAGAAACCAATGGGCCCTTACCCGGGGGCCATGGTGGGTTCCTTCCACCGTGGCTGAGTGCTGCTGGGAGTCCAGTGGTGTGCAGTTTAATCTCTGCCCCTGGCAGGTTGAAGCAGCCGCCCCATAGGGCCTCAGCTACTTCCCTGACAAGAGCAGGGTCTGTGGGGTTGGCCTGCAGCCCGGGGACCTCAGCTTCCTTATATAGCCCTGAACAGCAGTCCCAAATGTACATCAAGGCCCTGGGATCACCCTGAGCAGCAGGGGAGCTCAAGAGCCCCTCCCCCAGTGTCCCCTCCCATACAGTGGGGCTGAGAACTCCACTGGAGGTTCTGGTGAGGAGACCCCGTGTGCGAGTGCTTAGATGTTAGGGTACAGCAACCACTGCCTCTCTCCACCGTCCCTGATGGGTGGGGGGCACACACACTCAGTGCTTCCCCAGTTGGGTTTCACAAGGCACCCCGGGCCACCGAAGGGCCACCAGACAGCAGGGCCCAGGGCCAGCCTCACTGTTGACAGCCTTGCAGGGCCTGTTCCACACACGGGGCTCTGCTTGGGATTTGGTTTGAAATAAATTCTTCTACTGCTATTTTTTTTAAAAAAAGTCTTTCACTTGGAAATAATTTCAAGCTTCAAACACCCTCAAGAATAGAGGCAGCACATTGAAATAGGTGTACGTGGGTACACCGATTCCTATGAATTGTCGTGCCTTACCCACCTGCTTTCTCTGTCTTTGTGCATTCGGAATTCTTTCCTGAATCATTTAAAGGACGGAATGCTTACACATGTGGGGCCCTTTGTCCCTGGACACTTGGCGGCTTGTGCCAGGGAATATTGATCAGCACTGAAGCTTCCTTACGCCTACCCAGGGTCGTCCGTACCAGTTTGCATTGCCTTTTGTCTAAGCTAGCAGGCTGTGTCTTGGTTGAGTGAAGTCCTTGCTCACACCCCCCTGCAGGTCGGGAGCCAGCTGAGGGCCAGGTATCCCACTAGCTGCATGTTCCGCCTCCCTTCATTCGCAGCATTTGCACAGCCTGTCTTTGTCATTTATGACATTTGTAGTTGTGAGACTGAGACGCAGACTTCCTTCCCCGCCCCCTGCTTTTTCCTTTACACGAAAGTTCCCCATTTTGTGTTTGTCAGATGTTTCTTCACGATTAGATTGAGGTTATGTGTTCTCAGCCACATCCCCATTGACCCATATTCCCTTCTGACTTTGATGCTGAGCGATTTTAGAGCTAGGCCTGGGGCCCTGGACTCACAGCTGTCTCTGTGCCGGGTTCCCAGTAGCTTATGCCATCCACAGCCTGGTAGCTCCAAATGGGACCCAGAGACCAGCAGTCCCGCACTGAAGGCCAAGGGGCCCTTTGGGTCCCCTGGGGAGGCAGAGCTCCAGCCTGTGCCCCCCCCCACAGAGCAGCCCCTCCCAAGCCCACCACCACTTGCAGCCCACTTGCCCAGTACTGCCTGTGATCCCAGGGAAGGATGCCTGCCAGCCTCTCCCATGGCCATGAAGGCACGCAGCAGCTAAGGGTCATTCTTGGGTGAAAACAAGATCAAAATGGGGCCTGGCTGCGGGTGATACCTGTAGAGGAATGAAAGTGGATGAACTTGGAAGCACAAGATCAGTGTTCTGGGCTGGCTGTGAGCAATCTAAGCACCTGCTTAGGCAAGCACAGAGTCCAGAGTTCGATCCCTGGCACCACATGCCATGCCAGCCCCACCCCCAGGCATGCTAAGCCAGCCACTGAGACTGGCCATGGTAGCATATGCCTGTAATGCCAGCACTGGTGAGGCTGAAAGCAGGAGGATCATTACTAGTGCGAGCTGCATCGTGAGACCCTGTGCCACATGCGTAGAGAAAAGGCCAGAGTTCCCTGGACGTACTGACTTCTCCATCAGAGGGCTGCAATTATGCCTGGTACCCCAGCCCCAAATCATCTCACCTTGTGCCCCCACTTTCATCACTGTCCCAACCAGTCCCTGGGACCAGTCCTGCACTTCACAGTGGCAGTTGAGTACGTTTGCCACTAGGACTAGAATAGCATCCTGGGTCAGGCAGGTTGGGGAGAAAACCTGGGACAAACTTGGCCGTGCATCTGTACCGAGGAGCAGAGCCAGCTCCGGCAGGTTCCTGAAGCTTGGTGCGAGCAGCGAGGCTCCTAGATTCATCTCCCCTTTTACTTTGACCAACATATTATTCCCACCTCTATGATGAGTAAGGCCAAGCATGGAAAACCGGGAGAGACAGACGATGGGCTAAGGGTCGGATCCACTAATGAAGATAAGTGGCAGGACACATCAAGGGGTCGAGGCGCACAGGCTGCCCCGGAGCCTTCAATAAGCTCATGCCCAGGGACTTGCAGAGATGCCAGCCAGCTCCAGCACCAGGACACGAAGTACATACAGACAGATGGTTGGATGTGGGGTCTGTAGGCTGGTGATGGGGTCCGGGTCCCTGGAGGTCCACCTCCCAGCGGGGGCCGTGAAGTCTAGGGTTGGTGGCTGCTTCAGGCAGTGCCAGCAC